TCGAAGGGGCCTAACAACAATGATTAATGATGTTGAGTATATTTTCACATGCTTATTGGTCATTTGTATGTCTTCTTTGGAGAAATGTCTGTTTAGGTCCTTTGTGCATTTGTTAATCAGGTTATTTGTCTTTTTATTATTGAGTTGTAAGAGTTCTTCATATATTCTACATACAAGTCCCTTATCAGATCTATGATTTGCAAATATTTTCTCCCATTCTATGGATTGTCTTTTCAGTTCCATGATGATGTCCTTGGAAGCACAAAAGTTCTCATTATAATGATGTCCAATTTATCTTTTTTTTCTTATGTTGCTGTGCTTTTGGTCTTATATCGAAGACCTAATCCAAGGTCATAAAGATTTACTCTTATGTTTTCTTCTAAGCACTGTATAGATTTAGCTCTTATATTTAGGTCTTTGATCCATTTTAAATTAATTTTTGTGCACGGTGTGAGGTAGGGGTCCAACTTCATTCTTTTGCATGCAGTGAAATCTTGTTTTACTTATTATTTTCTATAACCTTCTGTATTTTTCATGATCTGGGCAAGGATATCTCATTTTATCCCAGTTACTATAGGCTAATAAAACCAGCTTGTCAATGTGACATTGTGGTCCAAAAGTGAACTCTACAGGAAGTTATTTTCGAGGACACACACACACATTATACCTTATAGGGCAGTATCTGAGAGAGATGAGGTATCTGGGGAGTTGCGGCCTCCTTACCACTCCTATCCCAGCCAACAAAGACTTCTGAAAGTCCACACATAAGCAATTCTTTCCTTTGGTTAAGTCATTAGCCACTTCTAAGTTCTTCTGTCAAAACACTAATATTTGTCTTACAAATGAGTTCACCAGGTCTTTTCCAGGGATAGTTGTCCAATTCCTCACTAGCTGGGACAGCAGGGGGCAAAAGGACCTTGAGCTGCATACATTGGTTGGGGAAGGAGTTAGATGGAGCGGCTAACTTGGTGCGAAGCCCGTAATTCTTCTTAGGAGGCTGGCCTTTGCGTCACATCACAGCTAAAATCCCGGACAAGTCTTTGACAGACAGAACCATATCTTAGCTGTCCTTACGCCCCCACTGCCTAGCCCGTGGCCTGGCACAAAGCCATATTTGGCGAATGAATGGGTGAAGAGGTCAAGGGGGAGAGCGCCAAGAGGGAGGGCTATGGGAAGGAACACTGGAAGGAAGTCTCTGCGGCAAACACCTCCTCCTTCCCCACGGCAGCCCCAGCCAGCAGTAGGCAGGCGGCTGCATGCTCTACCTGGCTCTGTCCCTGGGGAGGGGCAGGCGTTGGGCACCTGGATGAAGCTGGCTCATTCCTTCCATGCACCTGGAAAAAAGCAGTCAGTCTTGCTCCCAGCTGCATGAAAAGCACATCTTCTGGAAAGCTCCGTGAGGAGGTGGGGGCCTGCCCTGGATCCCACTGACAGCAGAATGGCAGCATCTGCCTGCTCCGGTCTGGCCCCAGCCCAAGGCTGAGCATGACAGCCCGGGCTCCCCCCACGGCCACAGGCAAAGTAAGGAGACCAGCTGCTTGCCAACCTGCTGGCATCAGAGGGCGCGAGGCGGCATCTGCGCTGCCTGCTAGCTGCCTGGGTAAGGGCCCTGGCCACTAACCCAGTTGGCAAGGGATGGAGAGAAGAAGCATCTGCCCTTCGCGGCTCAGCCATAAAGGGGGCGGCAGGCAGGTGCTCTTAAGCCTGGAGGTGGCTGGGGTGGGTTGAATGGCATCCCCCAGAAAAGATGTACCCAAATCCTAATCCCTGGTGCCTGTGAATGTGACTTTATTGGGAAATAGGGTCTTTGCAGACACAACCAAGTGACGGATCTCAAGACAAGATCATCCTGGATTATGTGGGTGGCCCTAAATCCAATATAGGCATATTTCTATGAGAAAGGAGAGGGAGATTTGACACACACAGGGAAGACGCAGAGATGGCCAGGGAGACTTGACACACACGGGGGAGGTGCAGAGACGGCCAGGGAGACTGACACACACGGGGGAGACGCAGAGACGGCCACATGAAGACAGAGGCAGAGACGGGAGTGATGCAACCTGAAGCCAAGGAATGCCTGCAGCCACCGGAGGCTGAGAGACAAGGAAGGAGCCTCCCCAGAGCATCTGGAGGGAGCGCGGCCCTGCCCACACCTTGATTTGGGACTGCTGGCCTCCAGACTGTGAGAGAATGCACTTCTGTTGCTTTTGGCCACCAGGTTTGTGATCATTTGTTACAGCAGCCACAGGAAGCTCATACAGTCTCCCTGGCCAGGGAGCCCAGAGCAGACACTGCCTCTGTGGTCTCTGCTTTTCCCAGGATGCTGCGTCTGCTCAGGAGACAACCCTGGCCCTCCTGCCCACCCATCTCAGACAGGTCTGAGCACCTGGGCCTCCGATCACTGTGAATCCAGCTTTGTCTCTGACTGCCCAGCCTGCAGGAGGACAAGAAGTCGAAACCGGCATGTACCTGCTGGTACCCGTGTCCCCAGTACAGGGCTGGGCTCCCAGGCAGACAACAGGCAGGAGGTAGGGTGAGGGTGGGGAGTAGGAAAAAGAGGAGTATCCCGTTCAATAACCAAGCAGACAAGTCCCCTCTGCTGAAGAACGCAATTCCACATTTAATGTTTTCTGAAGAGCGTTGGGGGAAACGGGGTGGCGGGCAGGGAGCCTGCTCGATGCACGCTCAGGAAACAGGGATTTAAAGCCCGGCCAGCGGAAGTCTCTCCCAGGGAAGGCATGTGAGCCCTGGCCTGCAGCCTGGCCCATGGCCCCCAGGGAGGGTATGGGATTGGCCAAGAGCAAAGGACCAGTGGGCCCCAGGAAGGAAGGCCACTGTCGGGGGCTTAGGGACCCCAGTGGGCGGGGCAGGCAACCGGGCCCTGACATGAGGGTGGGGTGAGGTGGGCTGCGTGGATTCCCCAGATCAGAGAAAAAGCAGAAGACTGGACGTTCGTCTTCCCTTCACCCCATCCTAGATGGTGGTGGCGTCGAAGAGCTAAAGGACAGTTGCCTTTGAGGTGATTCGGGTACATGAGCGCAGAGTCACCAATTAGAGCAAAGCTCCAGAAACACAGTCAAGTGAGGGCCGTCTCTTCCAGCGGCAGCCGGCTTCTTTAATGGGAGGGTTTACATCCCAGCCAGGTCCCTGCGAGCCCTCTGCTTGGGCTGGGGGCTGGAACTAAGTCAGGGCTGGCCGGGGCACAGCCCACTCCCAGTGTTCCTGCTTGGAGCTCCCGACACCCACCTCTTCAGAGCATGTCTGACACCAGTCAGTGATGGCGTGTGTCCCTCTATCCTAATCTCAGGGACTGAGCCCCCTGGAGCCCTGGAAATGGGCCGACAGGGACGCTGCCAGCCCCTTCCAGCTCTCCCTGCCCTGGGGCCCAGAGAAAGCCCCTCCAGTGCTGCCCTAGGCAGCTGGTGCAGGAGGCCTGGCTGAGGGCGCTGGGGGTCTGGGTGGCACAGTCGGCCATGGGTGCTGGGCTGGGAATGAGAAACCTATGAGGCAATGGGGCACTGAGATGGTGGGTGAGGCAGCTTCATCTAGAACATTATGGAGCCCTCCGTGGCTGACCCACGTGGGGGAGAAACAGAAAGCTGATGTGGGAGGGGGGCAGGCGTGGAGACCCTAAATGGGGCCCGAGGGCAGCGTTGAGGAGCGGATTTGAACTGTAGCAGGATGGCCTTGAACTTGCCTCCGCTTTATGAGGGCCTTTGCTCCTTATGGAGTCCCTGGGTAGCACAAACAATTAATGTGCTCGGCTACTAACTGTAAGGTTGGCAATTCAAATCCACCCAGAGGTGCCTGGGAAGAAAGGCCTGGCAATTTGCTTCCAAAAATCAGTGATTGAAAACATTATGGAGCGCAGTTCTACTCTGACACACATGGGGTCGCCATGAGTCAGAACTGGCTCAAGGGCAACTGGTTTTGCATCTTGGTCTTACTTTTTATGGGAGTTCCTGGGAGGTACAAATGGCTAAGCACTTGGCTGCTAAGAGGCACCATGGAAGAAAGGCCTGGCAATCTACTGCTGAAAGGTCACAGCCATTGAACATCCTACAGAGCACAGTTCTACGCTGACACACATGGGGTCGCCATGAGTTGGCGTTGACTCCACAGCAAGCGGTTTGGTTTTTTTCGTTTTGTTCCTTAGAATCATCTGCAGGTATAGGGGCCCCTGGGACCCCCAGCTGCCACCAGAACCTGTTGGCTGGAGCGAGCAGGGTTCATCTCCCAGCCAGAGTAAACTGCAGGGGGCTGGGCTGTCCCCCTTGGGAGCTGATGTCTGTGTCCCCAGCCCGAACCCTCTCCCTGTTGTGGCTCAGGAAGACCCGCTGGGGTGAGGCCACAGGGATGTCAGAGGTCATGGCGCCAATCCAGCCGCCCCCCCACGAAGGTTCAGACATGGCCTAAAGGAATCACGCCAGATGTGGTTTCCTGGGTCCCCGTGCCCTGACCCCCTTCCCGGTCACCCATGGCTTCCTCTAAGATCTTTCTTAAAAGGAGCCTCAGGCAACCTCAATTGGAAACAGCTCCCTGGGAGCTGGGGCAGCTGGGCGGGAAGGCAAAAAACAGCAATGCCTCCCCTCCCTCCGCTCCCGTCGTAACTTTTAGAATTGGCTTAACGACTTCCAGGGACGTGGGACTCCCCGCCGCGGTGCGCAGGGGTCACTTAAGGACATGAACACAGAGGGGAGCGGGAGGTCCCCACGGTCCTCCAGGAGCCCCGCCCCATGATTTCATCCGTCCACAGCACTCCACCGAGTCGCAAGATCTGGACCACACAGCAGCTTCTGCTTCCCTCCTCGTGAAAGGCATCTTGTTGTGTGCCAAAGCCGGGGACTGGGGACAGGGACACCACAGTGGGGACAGGTGCTGGACTGGCCGGTGCCGGTAGGGGGCAGGATGGGGTGGGGGAGCACCTGAGGGCGGCTCTGCCAGGCAGCGGGGTCGTCGGCCGTCTGGGGCGGGGCGGCGGCCGTCTGGGGGCGGGGCGGCGGCCGGCTAGGGCTCGGCGGCGTGCTTGACCAGGTAGCCGCTGAAGGTGATGTAGGTGTCGAACTCGTCGCTGAAGATGGCATTCTCGCGTTCGCCCTTGAAGAGGCGCACCCACACCTCGTCCTGCTCGCGCAGCTCCAGCATCAGGCTCTGGCTCTGCATGATGCTGCGGTCGCTCACCTGCGCGTACAGGATCACCGCCTCCTCCCCGTTCCTCATGATGTGCAGGTACGTCTCCTTCTGGTTCCACGTGTGCACGTTGAGGCTGAAGAAGTAGATACCAGGCACGTAGCAGTAGAACTTGCCGGTGAACATGTTGAAGTGGCCGTAGAGGTTCACGAACTCCGTGTCGAAGATCACCGTCTGGTAGTAGGCATTGCTGTGCAGCGGCTTCTTCCGGCCCACCGAGAAGGCCGCATAGTGGCTCTTGCAGCGGTCCCCGGGGGCCCCCACCGAACCCTTCTGCCCTTTGGGGCCGATGTGGCCCCGGGCGCCCGCCGAGCCCGTTTTGCCATATTTCCCCTGGAGGCCCCGGTCTCCTCGGTCGCCTTTCTCACCTGAAAGGGGCAGGAAAACACAGGCGTGAAATGGGTAGCCTGGCGCTCATCCTACGCCGCGTGCTTCCTGCACTATCCCCTGAGCGCCGTTCTGATCTGGCACCCGTGGGCCTGACCCTGCAATCCTCATTTCTTATTGTTTTACCTTGTTTTACTGTGATTATATAGAGAGAGAGAAAGAGAGAGAGAGAGAGAGAGAGAGCTCTGGTGGTGCCGTGGTTAAGAGCTCGGCTGCTAACCAAAAGGGCAGCAGTTGGAATCCACCAGCCGCTCCTTGGAAACTCTATGGGGCAGTTTCTTTCTGTCCTCTAGGGTTGCTATGAGTTGGAATCCACTCGATGGCAACGGGTTTATGTATATATAAAACAAACAGTTTTGCCATTTTAACCGTGTTTAGGTACAAGTCAATGGCATTAATTACGTTCGCCATGTTGTGGGACCATCACCACTGTCTTCCAGAACTTTTCCATTACCCCAAACCCAGTATCCCTTAAGCAATAACTCCCCATCTGCTCCTTCCCCCAGCCCCTGGTGACCACTAAGAAACTTTAGTCTCTATGCATTTGCCCATTCTGGATATTTCATCTAAGTAGAATCATACAATATTTGGGCTTTTATGTGTCTGACTTATTTCACTCCGCATAGTATTGTGAAGGTTCGTTCACGTTGTAACAGATATGAGACCTTCATTTCTCTTTAAGGCTGAGTAATGTTCCATCGTCTGGATGAACCCCATTTTGTTCATCCGTTCATCAGCTGGTGGGCACTTGGGTTGTTCCCACCTGCTGGCCATTGTGAATGGAGCTGCAGTGAACAGGGGTGTGTGTGTGTCTGTCTGAGTCATTGCTCGCAGGTCCTGAGTATATACCTAGGAGTGGAGTAGCTGGGCCGTATGGTGGCTCTGTGTTAACTTTCTGAGCAGTCCTCACTTCCGCCCCCCGTTGAGGCTCCCTACCCTGGGCACAGGGGTGTTTTGATTCCCAAATCAGTCAAACAAGCAGACTCAACCTCAAGGATTTTTCTCTTTTCATCCAGAAGCAGTAATTATTTTTCCCCCTTCTGGAAAGCACTGGCAGAGAAAAGGGAACATATGGGTTTGTCCAAAACAGCAGCCTCCATGGCCAGGCCCGCCACTCACTCTGAGCAAATGAAAAGCAGATGTGGGCACAGGAAGCGGGGCACATGTTTTCCCGGTTAGATGCTGCCGGGCTGGGCATGCTTATCTGCTGCACGCAGAACCGCAGCGGGCAGTGGCATTTCACAAAACCACTGGGGAGCACCCAGCCTCAAAACCAAGACCCAAGAGGCCTGCAGTCAGAATGTACGCAGAGGGGCGAGGGCCCGAGCTTGGCGAAGCCCCCTCTCCCGTTCTTGGTTTTGCAGCCCCTTGCTAATCCCTCATCTTGGAGAACCCATGGAGCGTCAGCAATGGAATTTCCTTCTCTTCTCCCTCACCCCCCTAGCTGACACCCTGCCTCTGCTCCTGTCCTGTCCTGAGGGAGAAATTCCGCTCGTGTCCCACGTTCGCTCTAGAGATTCCACCTCCTCCCTCCGTCAGCCCGGCGCAGCCCAGCAGGCGAAGGGCCTTCTGCTTGTCTCTGCAGCAGCCTGACCTTTCAGTATCGTGATGTTGATCTGCGGCACTGGGACCGGCTGGTACACGGGGGCACTGGGGTCACAGCAGCGGAAGCATCTGGAAGCAGGCGGCTCCTCAGCCTGGTGGGGGTTATATTTTTCATGTTCTTCTTCAGCCCTTAGGGATTGAAGGCATCACAGTAAATGCCATGAGCTTTCAGAGCCTAGACCCTTCTCCCTCCGGGTGCAGCCGACAAGCCTCCTCCTCTCTCACCACCATGCAGAAGGACCTGGGTTCGCTTTCCCAGAAGAGGGGAGACAATGACTCATGATGAATTCTGGGATCCTGAATGAAAGTTCAGAACGGGCCCCTTGCCCTGGCTAAGGACAACGATAGCGATGAAAGCAGTAATAACAAAACCAGCAATGATCTGAGGGCCGTGCAAGACACAGCCGCCTGGGGGAAATCAACACCTCTAGGAGAGTCTTCAGGGCCCCTGGGCCGCATAAACTATTAACCTAAAGGTTGGCTGTTCGAACCTACCCAGCATTGCCATGGAAGAAAGGCCTGGCGATTTGCTTCTATAAAGATTACAGGCAAGAAAACCCTATGGAGCAGCTCTACTCTGTACACACGGGGCTGCCATGAGTCAGAATCGACTCCACGGCAACCAGTTTGGTTTCTGGGGGGGTTTGTTGTTGTTTGTTGCTGTCGAGTTGATTCTCACTCAGGGTGGCCCTGTGTGTGCAGAGTAGAACTGCTCCACAAGGTTTTCGAGGCTGTGACCTTTCAGAAGCAGATCGCCAGGCCTGTCTTCCGCGGTGCCTCTGGGTGGGTTCGAACTGCCCACCTTTTGGCTAGTAGTTGAGCCCTTAATGGTTTGTGCTACCCAGGGATGTTTTTGGTTTAGGGTTGTCTTTGGATACGTATGATAATGCTGTCACTGGTGAGCTCCATCATATATTCATGATTCTGGAAAATACTCTTAAGCTGATTCTTTTGAAAATGAGAGGGCTCGGCCTAATCTTGAGCTCTATCCAGAGCTGCAGTGGCTGGAGGTTCCACCATAATGTTTGCAGCTGGCCTTTGCAGGAAGAATAAGTGGACGCCTTGGCGGCAAGGTGACAGCTCCATGCCCCCACCTTGTGGCATCTCGCTGAACTGCATCTTACTCTCTGGCCAAGCTCCAGAGCTGCCTAAGGCCATGTGTCCCTGTCTCCTACCTCCAGGTTGTTCTTTGGACCCATGCAGACATTTTCAAGAGACAAAGCAAGAATGGAAATACAAACTGAAAGACTGGGATTGGGCGTTGACTTGCTCTGAGGAAGTGGCGGAGAGACCTTACGAGGCTCCCGTTCGTCTGAGGTCAGAGCAAGGCTGGGATCCTGTCCTTGGTTCCAGGTAAGGATCCCAAGGCCTGGCCTCGCCTGCCCGCCCCCCCAGAGCCCCTCACAGCCCCAGGGAAGCCAGGAGCCCTGACAGCCTGGCCAGAGCAGGCTCCTGCTGTTGTGTGTCCACAGCCCTCACCTCTTGGCGTGGTCCCGAGGGGGTGGTGGCTCCTTGGTCCCCTCAGCCTTGGCATCTCCCTGAGTCACCTCGTGTTCCTGCTGGGTCTGCTGGCCACGGGGCACGCGGCCCAGCACCGGGACACAGGCGAAGATCAGCAGCAGACAGCAGCCCAGCAGGAGTCCTGGAGTGCGTGCATCCATCTTCCCGCCGTGGCCTGGTGGGAAAGACACACCAGGAAGGGGACAGGTGAGGAAGGGGGCAGGTGAGGAAGGGGACAGGTGAGGAATGGGACAGGTGAGGAAAAAGCAACGAAACCGGCGTCTGCCCAGCCCAGCAATGACCATGAAATGCTTCAGTCACAGCTCCTTCCTAGAGGCCAACCCACACGCCCTCACACTGTCACATATGAACACACACCGACACACACCTACACATGCACACATTCACACTCATACTTACACGTGCATATTCTCACACGCACTCATGCCCACGTGCACAATGCACACACTTGCACACACTCCACTCATTTACACTCATGCTCACACACACGTATTCGTGGGCACACGCACACACACTTACACACTTGCACACATCCGCACACACAAACATAAGCACACTTACACAGTTATGCACACTCATGCACAAGCATTTAAAGTTGGCTGTTCTGAGCATTTCTGAGTATACAATCCAGTGACATTAATTATATCTGCATATGGTGCCACCATCACCACTATCCATTTCTAGAAGTTTTCCGTCGCCTCACCCAGAAATCTGTGCCCCTTCAGCAATAATTCCTCGTTCCTCCCTTCCCCCATCCCCTGATGGCCACTAATAAGCCCTGGTCTCTAAGCGTTTGCCTGGTTCTCGATATTCCGGGTAAGCGGGATCGTACAGAGCGTGTGCTGTTGGGAGCGGCTTCTTTCACTCAGCATCATGCTCTCGAGGTTCATCGGTGTTGTACATGGACCAGGGCTGCATTTCTCTTTATGGCTGAATCTCAACTACCCCCCGACCACCACCACTCACAGGAGTCTGAGCCTTTAGTGGCAGCAGGGCCCCTTGAGGGGGTGAAGCAGGAGCAGTGGGTGGCCCCATGCCAGGCTGGTCGGGCTTGACAGGCTTGTAGGTGAGGGAGAATTGGCCAGATAGTGGCCAGTCATTAGGGCTTGCTCTCCACCTGGCTGGAGGTCTGACGGGTGTTGACGCCCACCAGGCTGCCCACCATCTAGGGCAGGATGATCAAGTCGGGCAGGTGTGTCTTCACCACCTTGAACTTCTCACAGGCAATGCCTCCTCCTTGGCCTTGCGCAGCCGCTTCTAGCAAGTGCTGCTTCCTGTGCGGGCTGGATTCACCGCCGCTGCTGTGGTGCGCTAAGCCCCTGCATCAGCTGCTTCAGGGATGTGTCAGCAGCCACTTGAGGCCCACGCCGCAGCAGGCGGACTTGAGGGAGGAAGGTTTGGTCCTTCTTTGGCTCCACTTCTGCCGGTTCTTGGGAAAGGCCCAACTCGTACTTTACAGCTGCATTTCACAGCACGCCTCAGCCCAGCACTTCTCAAACTTGAATGCGCACACATACCTCCTGGGGAGTCTTGTTAAAATGCAGACTCTGATTCAGCAAGTCTGGGGCAGGGCCCTGCGTTCTCAACAATCCCCAGTTGATGCTGATGCTGCTGGGCTGAGGGTCTCGCCATGAGTACCCGGTTCTAGCCACCTGTCTAAGCCCCTTGCACTACCCAGCCCCCGGGGTACTTCTCCTTGGCAAACCAGGTGCCCTCAAGTCGACCCCAACTCACGGAGACCCCATGTGTGTCAGAGCAGAACGTGCTCCATCAGGTTTTCAACAGCTGATTTTTCAGAAGTAGATCGCCAGGCCTTTCTTCCTAGGCACCTCTGGGTGGACTCAAACCACCAATCTTTCAGTTAGCAGCCAAGTGCTTTAGCCATTTCTACCACCTATGGGGCTCCATTCACCTTGGCCTGGAGTGCCCCTTTCTCCCCCTCTCTTAAGATAAAAACCCAGCCAGCAGGAATGAGGACCACACCAGGCATGTTAAGCCACCTTGTACAATTCCATCGAATCTTTGCAAGCATGTAAGTTAGCACCATTCTTGTGCTAACTTTATAAAAGAGAAAACAAAGGTTTAGAGAACTTAATTAGTCTGCTGTTAGCTACCGCGGAGCTGGTGCCCAACTCATGGCGACCCCATAAACAACAGAACAAAACCCGACGCGGTCCTGCCGCATCCCCGTGATCGGTTGTGGAGCAGACTGCTGTGATCCATATAGATTTTTCATTGGCTGATTTTCAGAAGTAGATCACCAGACCCTTCTTCCTACTCCGTCTTAGTCTGGAAGCTCTGCTGAAACCTGTTCAGCATCCTAGCAACACACCAGCGTCCACTGACAGACGGGTGGTGGCTGTGCATGAGGTGCGTTGGCTGGGAATCGAACCCAGGCCTCTTGCATGGAAGGCAAGAATTCTACCGCGGAGCCGCCACTGCCTCTCTTAATTAGCCTATGACTCTCCAGTTTTTAAGAGGGGGAGACTGAGTTTGAACCCAGACAGACTGGCCTTGGGATGCGTCAAATTCCCGCCCTAATCTCAAGGCCAATTAAGTGTCTCAAGTTCTTCATAACACCTTCTGTGAGCCTTCCACTGGGAAAACACCTTCCCTCCTTTTTTGTAATGTTGTTTTCCAAATCCTCTTGTCCTACAGCACTACAGAGGTTTCTGTCTGGCCTGTGAGCTTCTCCCCAAGCTGCCTGCTCCCTCCTTGGAGCCCAGGACACAGAATTGTTCAGCTTGGACCAACCAAGCGCCGGCAGCCTCCTGAGCCTCACTGGCGCTCAACACACATTTGCTGCTTTGGATTCTCCACGTTTGTTGACTTCTCGATTTCTGCATTTCCTCTGTTCTTCCTCAGCAACGTAATCACTACTCTTTTTTTTCTTTTAAATGCCAACTTGCATCAGTGGAAAGGAAAAGAGGGTTTTCTTTTGTTTAAACATTGTTTTTTTTTCCCGGAATCTGAAGCAATATATATTCATTTTGGAAAAGTTGGAAAGTGCGGGACAACCCAGGAAGAAAAACCTACTCGGATTACTCAGTCCCAGGGTTTCTCAGCCTCGGTGCTGCCGACACTGAGGCCGGACGAGTCTCTGTCATGGGGGCATCCTGTGCACCATAGGACAGTTAGCAGCATCCCTGGCCTCTCCCCCCTAGATGCCAGTAGCACACGCACACTCCCGTTGTGACAACCAAAAATGTCTCCAAAACCAAAAAAACCAAACCCACTGCCACCAAGTCGATTCTGACTAATAGCAACCCTGTAGGACAGAATAGAACTGCCCCATGGGGTTTCCAAGGCTGTAAATCATTAGGGAAGCAGACTGCCACGTCTTTCTCCCATAGAGCGGGCTGGTGGGTTCCAACCACTGACCTTTTGGTTAGCAGCCACGCACTTAACCACTGCAGCAAAAATGTCTCCAGGCATCGCCGAGGGTCCTGGGTGGTGGGCAAATTCACCCACGGTTGAGAACCACTGTTCTACCCCAACAGAAGCGCCACTTTGTAGGTTGGTATGTCTCTCTCTAGTCTGGAAGAAAGGTCCCTGGGTGGCGCAAACAGGTCTGAACCCATCCAGTGGCATCACAGAAGAAAGGCCTGGCAATCTGCTTCGTAAAGATTACGGCCAAGAAAACCCAATGGAGATGGAGCAGTTCTACTCTGTAACACAGCAGGGTTGCCACGGGTCAGAGTCGCCTCGGCGGCGATGAGTGTCGTTTGGTTAGTATGGCAAAGGCACTGTCTGCACCTTGGTCAGAAGAGATGGGACCAGGATGCAGTTGGGCGGTGGTGGTTGTTAGCTGCCCCCGAGTTGGCCCGAGACTCAGGGCAGCCCCATGCACAACATGCTGTTGTGATCCATAGGGTTTTCACTGACTGATTTTTGGAAGTAAGTCACCAGGCCTTTCTTCCTACTCCATCTTAGTCTGGAGGCTCCGCTGAAACCTGTTTAGCATCCTAGCAATATGCAAGCCTCGATTCACACAGACGGATGGTGACCGTGCATGAGGTGCATCGGCCGGGAATTGAACCTGGGTCTCCCACATGGAAGGGGAGAATTCCACCACAGAGCTAAGGCTGCCCTCACAGTTGGGTTAGGGGGGATGACATCAATGGGGGAGGGGCTATGTGAGAGTCCAGCAAGGGGTCAGAGGTGCAAGGCTGACAGACGGAGGGCAGCAGAGGCTGGTGGTGGTTCTCCATAGGGACTTCTTCTCTGGAGCCAAAGCAAAGCCAGACTGAAATCTTTCCTGCTTTAAAAATACCTTTAGAACCGTTTTACCAAGTCCTACGGCAAAGTCAGCATCATAGCATTATGATCATTTTAGTCACTTCTGGGCAAAAACAGTATTTCCCAACATCTAATCAAACTTGGCTCCAGATCCCTTTCAGCTATTTCCAGTGAAATGAAGTCCCTCTGCAAAGGGCAAGGTTTGTCCCCAGTGAGGTTGCTCAAAGGCATGTGCTGCCCACAGCAAAAGCACGTCCAGAGGAGTGGGTCCCGGGACATCTTGACCAATGGTGTGTAACCCTCATGAATCTGGATCCATGTGGTCCAGTCTCTGGGCTGCGTTGCAGTCAAGGCAACTGAAGACAATTCAACACGACTCAAGTTCTTTACTTGCCTTTCCCAGACCCTGTGAAGCAGAGCCGAACTCCACGGGAATTCCATGAACATCTTTTTTCTCCCACCCATGTCCCTGAGGACCTGCAGCCCTCCGGCAGCCCCTCCTCAGACCCCCCCATCTACTTCCAGATCACCCTCAACCCCAATAAGCAAGGACCCTCCTTTGCAGGGGTAGGAGAGAGGAAAGGGGAGATTGGGCTAATTACAGCATCTGGAGGAAGGTGAGAAGTCTGAGAACCCCTCTTTGTTACTAATTTTCTTTTTCAAAAGACCTGAGAGGCATAATTGGTGCTTTTATGTGTCATGATTAATGCCAAAGTCCACAAGTGTCACTTCTGACGTTTGGGGAATGACCATCTTCCCCGTTTGTTTATGTCATTTTGCTTTCTTCCCTGTCCTCCTCGTCTCATTGCAAACTGCATCCTTACTGTTTTTGAAAATCGGTGTGTGTAAGATAACATTTACACGTTAACAAGCCAGTTAAAGCGTACGATTCAGTAGCATTAAGGACATTCACAACATTGTGCAACCATTACCGCTCTCTATCTCCAAAATTTTCCATCCCCCCAAACAAATTTGTTAGTAATTTTGGATCAGTGGTGAATCCTTTATACCAGTTTCCATCCGACTCATGGTAACCCCGTGTGTGTCAGAGAATTATGCTCCATAAGGTTGTTAATGCTTAATTGTTCAGGAGGAGATCACCAGGCCATTCTCTGATGGCATCCCTGGGTGGACTTGAACCTTCAACCTTTCAGTTAGCAGCTGAGCACGTTAACCTTTTGCCCCACCCAGGGACTCCATACTCGTACGCGAGTTCAAGTTTCCTTGTGTTTGTTAAAAATTGGTCCTAATATTTTATGGCCCCAGGCCCCCATGTTGCCGTGCCTGTGTCACAGTGAATTCCTGGAACATGGGGACCATGTGTTTGCGATTTTGTCTCGGTGCCACACCCAGCCCAGGGCCATCTGACAACAGCACTTTATAAACATGGCTTTCCCCCTTCTCTAATCCTCATCCGGTGGGCAGCTGTCCTGAGCGAGGAGAAGCTTAGAATCTCCTCGAGTTGGAAGGGGCCTTAGAAGACAAGTCAACTACCATGTAACTCAGGAATTCCCTCTCAACAGATAATTGGACACAGGCATGGTTTATGGGACTCCCAGGATTTGCACAGTATCGTCGTGCAAGAGCTTGGAGGAAGTGACTCAGCCATGAACTAAACACACTCCGGTGAGGGAGACAGATGTGTGCCCAACTATAACTCAAGACAGAATGGCAAACATTGAATCCAAACATTGAGTGAGTGACATTCTAGACCTTTGCTGTCCAGTATGGCGATCACTAGCCACACGCGGCTATTTAAATTTAAAATAACTGAACTTAAATAAAATTTAAAATTCAGTTCCTGGGTCACAATAGCCACATTTCAAGCACGTGATAGCCACGTATAGCTCATGGCTACCATATTGGAAGCGCAGAGCAGAACATTGCAATCATGGCTGAAGGTTCTACTGGGCAGCTCTGTTCTAGATAAAAATGATGGTGGTGGGGGAGGAGGTAGGAACATGAACGAAAGCAGGCCAGAAATCTGGGAGTCATTTATACTCCTTCCTCTCACATATCCGCCCATCTCATCAGTCGCCAGCCTTCCTTAATGGCTCCTGAAGTCTCTCCTCCTTTCCGTTTGCGTGTTTCCAGGGGCGCTGGCTGTCTCCCAGACGGCCATCCACTCAAGAGCTCCTTGTTTCAATGCAGCATCAGCCATCCCTCAACCACTGGCACCCCTGCCTCGCACCCGCTCCTACCATGGCCCCCTCCCCGTATCCTCTCAACCAGAGCGGAAGCCTGACTCGGCCGTCTGGCTTTGATGCCTGGTGGAATTCTCTGTTGAGAAGCCTGGAGCTCTTCTGGTGATACAGGAGGTCTCTTGGATCCAGATACTGGGGTGCCAAGAAAGGGGGAAGTGCCATGTTGGGGTGCTCTTCTGGCCTGATGACCATCAGGGTTTCCTAGCACATGACACCTGCCACCAGCCCTCTTCCCTCCCCCCAGGAGCCACTAATCACAGTAACTGCCCATTTACCAAACTCCTCTGGTGATGGACAGGAGGGTGACTTGCAGCTGATAAATGCTGTTTGTTCATCTCTTCCAGAAGCCCGTTTAATATCTAATTTTTCCCTCTATAATTGGGCGAAGGCAGACTACAAAGAAAGGCCTAGCAGTCCACTCCCAAAAGTCAGCCAATGAAGACCCTGTGGATCACAGAATATCGCCTGAGACTTTGACTCTGTGACCTTGGAAGCATCATCAAGAAGGACTGATCGCTGGAGAAGGACATGGTGTTCGGTAAAGTGGAGGACCAGCCAAAGGTGAGGGAGACCTTCAATGAGATAAGTCGATACCAGTGGCCACAACAGTGGACTCAAACATACCAGCAATCGTGCCTGGCCCAGGACCAGGTGACATTTCGATCTGTTATCCATGGTTCGCCATAAGTCGGAGCTAACTCAACAGCAACATAATTGGGCAGCCCCTGCTGGTCCAGACTCTCCCTCTGCACTCCCAGCAGAAGCAGCAGTGAGAGAGGGGGACCCTTTTTTAAAGGACCCCTGGTCAGTTGGAGGTGAGCAGTGCCTTTCCCAAGAAATGTGTGTGTCCTGAAGCCTGTCTACCCTTGAATCTCCCTTTTCCCTGTTTCCAAGAAGCTGCCCTCTGTCTGGCAGAAGGAGGGCGTTTTAGGGTTCGGGGATTTACTTGGTTCCCTCCAAAGCCCAAGGGCAGGGAAGAAGATGGGTTCTTCCACGGTTACTTGCTCGTTGATAACCAAGTGTCTGCCTTTCCCTGGACAGGAACGAGATCTAGCTTGGGACAAAACAGTGAAGAGAAGAGAGGCCAAGAATCTTCCTCATCCTACAACATCTCCCGCCTGTCCTGGCTACCGCACCGTGGCCGAGAATGGCTCACCTGGAGCAGAGAGTGGACCCAGTCTAGGTTTCTTCCCAGGCCCTGCAAACAAGGAGGCCGTGTGGGTTGCCAAGCACGGAGCCTGCAGGGGCACCTGCCAGCCCAGCCTCAGGGCTACGGCTCTGTCCGTGGAAATGAAGATTTCCTTGAGCAGAGGAGTGTCCTTAGCTCACCTCTCAGCTGGGAGTGCTCAGGCGTCAGGCTGCCCTGCTCCCAGAACTGGTGAAAGAGAAGAGGATCTGGCAGCTTGTGCCACGGGCCCGCTCTGCAGGTGGCCTGGCTCACTGCCATTTTCCCAGCACCCTCGGGGGCTGACCTGTCCCAAAACCGAGGGAGGAAAAGAGCCTGGGAATCCTAGATCTGTGCCCCATCCCACCCCAGCCCTTTATACACAAGACAAACGTCTTTGTCTAGCTTTCCCGGCCTGGACAGCATCCTAACACTTCCCATGCATCTCCTGAGGAAACTTGGCATAAGATAGAACTTCATCCCACACCTAACGGCTTCAAGGCCAACAGCATCCTTTCCAGCCCCAGCCCAGACTTAGCTCTCGCTAAGATCGTCGGCAAAGCTCGCGAAAGCTTCAACTTCCTTGAGCTCTTTAGAGCATCTGTCCGTGTTGACCACCCCTTTCTCCTGTCCTGGTCTCTGGCCCACCCTGTCTTCTAGTGCTTATCCTTCTCGATCTCCCCCTTAAAGATGGATGTCTTCCGGGGTATTTTCTCGGCTCTCAGCTCCTCTCTCTCAGACGCTCTTTCTGTCTGTCTTTATCTGCACCGTGTCTTCAGCTGCCTCCCATGCGTGACAACAGTACAGTCTGTGTCCCCATCCCAGACCCACCTCCTGAGCTGTAGCCCCCTGGGGTTATATACACGTACAGGCAGTGCCTGACTTACGGCGGGGTTCCGTTCCAAGGATGACTCCATCGTAAGTCGGTTCTGACGTAAGCTGAATACCTCTTTTTTTTTAAGTTTTCATTATTATTGTCTTTCATTATCGGTATATGTATCAATCTGATCTTTATTCGTTGGCGTCAGTGTCGTAACAATGAAGTCGAAGTTGTAACGGCTGTCGGGCACGTGTACGCAATTCAACTGTCGTATGTCGTTAGAGTTGAACATCGTTCAACTTTCCATCTGTGACGACCTCCTATGCCAACGCGGATACCGACATCGGCTTCACCGTAGACCAGGCGACACCTGCTATATGGCGGCGTTTTGACCAGTGAATCATAACACTGATCATCTGCAAATGAACATCTGGGAACGATAACGCCCGCAAATTACACACCGCAACATGGTATCTAGTACATATGACTAACGATAAGATGCCCCCCCCCAAAAAATACGGTCATGAGTGCAGTTCCTCTTAACTCAAATACGTGGTGAGTGGAGGACTACCTGTCCGTGAATTAAAATGAAACATAATCAAAAACTTGGTTCTCAGTCTCACAGGTTGAGTGTTTGTGTGGCTAGCGGCTACCAGGTTGGACAGCCCAGTAGACAGAGCGCCTCCATCACTGCAGAACATTCTATTGGATAGGGAAGAAAGTTCTAGATCTACGTATCCAACTGTTTTCTGAACACCTCCTCTTTGATCTGCCATAGATCCTTCTTGTTGTTGCTGCTCGTTGCTGCCGAGTTGGCTCCGACTCATGGCGGCCCCACGTACAACATAATGTGATGTTGCCCGATCCTGCGCCATCTTCACAATCCCTGGTATGCTCAAGTCCATTGTTGCGGCCAGTGTGTATTTTGAGTGTCTTCCAACCCAGGGAGCTCATCTACTAGCACTATATGGGACAGTATTCTGTTGCAATCCATAGGGTTTTCATTGGTTGATTGCTTTTTGGAAGTAGATCGCCAGGACTTTCTCCCCAGTCTGTCTTAATCTAGAAACACTGCTGAAACCTGTCCACCATGGGTGATCCTGCTGGTATTTAAAATACCGGTGGGATAGCTTCCAGCATCACAGTAACACGTAAGCCACCACAGCATGACAGAGTGACAGACGGGTGGAGGGTAAGACCCTTAACTCCTAACTAATGCATCATCTTCTCCCTCGACTCCCAACATACCTGACCATCCTGCTGAGGTCCACAGCTCTGTGAAAGACACCAACCAGGCAGGCGCCCCAGGCCAGAAATCTGGGAGCCATTTAGACTCCTAACTCTCATGCACCCCTCACGTTGAATCTGTCACCAGCCCTCCTTAAAACCCCTGAAGATTTCCTCTCTGCCCCACCCCCTTGGCCTCTCACTTCTGTCCCAGCTCTTCACCGGCCTCCCTGCCTCCCATCTCTCCCCCACACTGCTGACCAGAGCCATCTTTTAAAAATGCAAATCGGATTTGCAAAGGGGGCTTCCCATGACTGCAAAGAAAACCTCACCCCTGAGCCTGGCACACGAGACCCTTCCCGGCTGGTTCCTGCCTCCACCTCTGGGCCTGTTGTCCCCCCTCCCACATGTGTATTGGTCACTCCATCCCCCCGGGTCCACTCTCAGTCCCTAAAGCACGTCATGTGGTCGCGTCCTCTTGCGCAGGCTCTTTCCTCTCTCTGGGCGTTCATTCCTTTACTCCGCCACCTTCTTCACCCATGTGTCTTCCAGAGCTCAGCTTAACGCCACCTCCTCCAGGAAGTCTTCCCACCCCAGTCTGCTGTAGCTGCCCCTCCCCCTCCCACATCCAGAGTCAACCTCCTTGTCTAGTCCCCTCCTTTAAAACAGGAGCGCGTCTCATTTCCCATGCACCTCCTGCGTCCCCAGCGTCTAACTTGAATCTTCACGTATCGACTGAATGCCGCCCTCCCCTTCCCTTCATTTCCAAAAGTATAGCCATCTGCAGCCCACATCCAAACGGGACAACAGGGTCCCGCACTTCTTACGACTTCAACGGAGTGTGGTCAAAGCTTCTCTAGATCAGGGTGTGGGTGGGTGGGGACAGAGAAGAGGAAAGGGGAGAGTGACCCAGGGCACCATGAAGTCTCGTCTGAATTCTGGATCCTTGTGTGGCCATCTAGCCACCCTTTTCCCAAATACCCCTCTTGCCTGCACTCAGAAGGCCGGCTGCTTCAAAAGGACAGCTAAAACCCACTGCTTCCATCAGCCAAGGCTACAAACGACCTAAATGCCCAGCAGAAACAATCTAATGACATGCATTATGGTGCAGCTGTACAGGAGCATACGAAACAAATGACGGCGTTGATCAGCATAGCAAACGCCCTCAGCGAGGATGCAAGACCGAGAAGGCTGGATGTAAGACAATCGGGAGGGGTGGCGTCATGGATTGAACTGTGTCCCCCAAAATATCTGTCAACTTGGTTAGGCCACGATTCCCAGTATTGTGTAGCTGTCCTCCGTTCTGTGATTTTCTTCTGTGTTATAAATCATAATCCCTGCCTGTGGTTAAAGAGAATTAGGGTGGGATGTAACACCCTGGCTCAGGTCACATCCCT